GCCCCAACTCCCCAGTCAGCCCTGCTCTGAGCCTGACCAGGGGCTGCACCTAGGGATTGGGCCTGCCCTCTGCCACCCGGGAGCAGGCCTAAGCCAGCAGGTCGTTATCTCCCGAGGGGTCCCAGACTGCGAGAGGGCACAGGCCAGGCTGAGGGACACCGCCCCCCCGCCAGTGCACAAATTTTTGTGCACCGGGCCTCTAGTCCTATATAATAAAACTCTAATATGCAAATCAACCAAACAGTGGAAAGACCTGTGGACCGACGGGTTGCTATGACATGCACTGACCACCAGGGGGCAGATGCTCAACACAGGAGTTGCCCCCAACCCCCAAGCCCTGACCAGTGGCAGCGGGGGTGGGGGGAGGAGGAGGGCTGGTGACTGGGCGGCGCCAGGCCAGCTAAGGTGGGTGTGAGCGGGGGTTCCGATCACCCCACTGGTCACCACACAGATCGACCCTGATCGCCGGCCAGGCCTAGGGACCCTACCCGTGCATGAATTTCGTGCACTGGGCCTCTAGTATATTTATATATGTGGGAGTGTGTGTGTGTGTAAATAAGCCACTCATCCCAAGAATCAAAGTATAAATGTTCTTTCAAGCACAAAATTGGCCTACTATTAGGATATAAAATGAGTCTCCAATATAATAACATTGATATTGTGCAGAATTTGTTCTTAGGCCACTTACAGGGGATCACAAACCCCTTTGTGTATTTGATGAAAATTGTGGACTTTCTCCCTAGAGCAATGAGCATTCACAAATAATTATGTTCACATTTCCAGATTCATGGATCTTTGAAAAGATGAAAAAACACATAGTTAAGGTTTTGATTTTTTGACAATACACTACTCAATAATTTGTAAAACAATCTATTACTGGGATTCCCAAAGTGGGTTCCTAGACATATGGAAGTCAACAAGAACCTTTTCGGGAATGTGCCCCATCAACACATTTTTCTAAGAAAGACTTTATTTTCCTTTTTCATTAGGTTGATATTTGCAATGATGATACCCAGAATTGATGGGCAAAGTTAACGGTATCTGACCAGAAATAAAACAATGACACCAAACAATATCAGTAACCTGTAATCCTCATCATCAAGTGAGAGTTAAGGGGAAAACAATCTAGTTTCATGTAAGAATGTCCTTGATGAAGCAATAAAAAGTATTAATCTTATTAAATCTTGACCCTTGAATACATGTCTTTTTAATAATTAGTGTGGAAAAAATAGGAAGTGTGCATTAAGCAGTCTGCTGTATACCCAAAAAGCACTTGTATCATTGTCTGAGTGATGAGCGACACTATCCATTTTTTTTAAGAAACAACATTTTTAACAACAAAAGAATAACCAGCAACTGTTGCTATTAACACATGAGTATTTCGTGGACTTTAAAAAAAACTGGAGGAAGTGAGCTTATTATTTCAAAGGAAAACCACTGACAGTATTTGCTAATATGGGAAAGTCTGAGCTTTCAAGTGAAAATCAGTACAGTAGGTCCTCGGGTTATGTCGGAGATCCGTTCCTATGGCAACGCAATGCGATTTTCGCTGGAAGTCAGAACCCACCTACATAAGCACCTACGTCACTCACATGGAGCACAATCACAGCAGTAATGAAGTGAAACAGTAAAAAAAATTTAAAAGAAAGATTCCTGAACTTTACTTGTGATAAATAAATAATAGAAAAACATAAAGCACATATGTATATACGTTGAAATGATGGAACTTTTTTTTAAATAAATACTGTAAATGGGAGATGGCGATGTACATCGAGTCCAATGTAACCCGACTGCCTGTATTTTGGAAAACTTGTATCTGCCACTGTGAGACTGACAGCTTCAGAATTCTTAACTTTTCTGATGAGACCAGCAACACTAATAAATGTGACATGTTGTGTGTTTTTTAACTGATTTTTAGAGAGAGGAAGGAGAGAGAGAGAAACATTGACCAGCTGTGAACTGGGGACCTTTAGGTGCACGGGGCAACGTTCAACCAACTAAACCACACCGGCCAGGGCCAAATGTGATGTTTGATATTCTACAATAAAATGTGTTACCCTGGCAGACACATACAATCTGGTACACACAAGTATATGCATAAATTATTTCCAGAAAAACAGAATACGATTTTAATAAGCATGCTTATACTATTTACTAATTGTGCATAATCTATCTATCTATATAAAAGGCTAATATGCTAAGTGTCTGACCGAAGGACTGGCCACTATGATGCGCACTGACCACCAGGGGGCAGACACTCAATGCAGGAGCTGCAGTAACTTGGCAGCGGTGGTTCTCAAGTGACGCACCCCAAAACCAGAGAGGAGGGAGCTTGATTCTTCGTGGGGCCGTGCAATTCCACCTTCCGCCATGGGTTATGATGTTGCTGGGGCACTGTCGCCCCAAATCTGGTTTACCGCATACTTGCATTTTCGTTTCACACCCTGTATGACAGCAACTTTGCAGAGTGCCCTCTCGCACTCTGGGACCCCCTGGAGGATGTCGGAGAGCAGGTTTTGGCCTGATCCTCGCAGGCCAGGCCAAGGGACCCCACCTGCCGGAGGAACCCGGCTCACTCTGCAGATGCTGGGGAAGGACTGCGGGAGGTTGGCTCCAGGGCGTGTCCGGCCCATCTCGCCCAGTCCCGCCCCACCGGCCACCTTCTAATTACTTTCCTTTCAATGTGCACGAATCCATGCACTGGGTCACTAGTAAGATTATAATGTTCTAGAAAATGACTGTTTGTAAATGTCACTTGGTATCATTGCCACTCTCACATTCGCACTGTAAAAAGAATAGCTCGTTGCTAAGGAAGGAAACACAAACCCCTCCTCTGCTGCAGCTGAGGAGACTGCAGAAATCGCATCTCTACTGTACCTTTTGTGTGGCGCTGCCTCTGGTGGCCGGAAGCAGCTTCATGGTCTTCTGAGATGTCACTCCCACCTGGAAACACAGCGCACCCAGTGAATGTCCTCTCCCAACCGTCCTCTCAGTCACTACATCAGAAATTAGCAGGACCGGCAGAGGCAGCCCACAGTGAGTTTTATTTTTCGCTGCAATCATTAGTGATACAAGGTAATTATTACTATCAGCGATGAACTTGTTATCTAATGAAATATGTCACAAAAGTCAGAAGACAGGAAACAACCCCCAAACAATAAAATTTACCTTTGTCAAAATGTATGCTGTCAAGCCAAAAAAAAAAATTGTTACCTTACTGACAAGCTACTTCATGAAAAAATATTTCTAGAAGCCTTCTTTTACAAGTTCATACAGTTGTTAAAGAGGTGGGGTTTTTTTTGGTAAAGGAATTTAAAAAATCTTTATTGGACACAGAGTAATTATTAAAAAGGCAACAAAGAAGATTTTTGCTAAAACACCAAATATCCTGATGGCCATGATGTCCGATAAAACTAATCCTGAAGATGGTTTTACAAAAGGGACAGAAGAGGAAAAATGGCTTGTTCCCCCGGGGAACTGTCACAGCGGTGCACTGCGAGCTAGGGGAGGAGGACCAGAGGCAAGCTGGAGAAAACAACCAACCCAGAAGGCATTCCCAGGCAGTGCAAGTCTATAATGTTATTCTGCATGCCAGGGAGTGGTATTACAGTTTCAGAGCAGGTACTTGGGCCCTAGCCGGTTTGGCTCAGTGGATAGAACGGCGGCCTGCAGACTGAAGAGTCAGGACTGAAGGGTCCCAGGTTCGATTCTGGTCAAGGGCACGTGCCTTGGTTGCGGGCTTGGTTGCGGGCACATCCCCAGTGGGGAGTCTGCAGGAGGCAGCTGATCGATGTTTCTCTTTCATTGATGTTTCTAATTCTCTATCCCTCTCCCTTCGTCTCTGTAAAAAAATCAATAAAATAAAAATATATTTTTTTTAAAAAAATAAAAGCATGCCCTTGGATTTGGACTTTGAAACATCAGTCTAAGAAGGGACGTGGGGCTGGAGGCTGGAGGCTGGGAGCCCAATCCGGAGGCTGTTTCTAGTATCGAGCAACGGGGGCCAATGGAGACAGAAATGGGACCTATTCCAGAGGCGTTTAATTTGATGAGCAAAGCAGGGCGCGGTGGCAGCGGGAGGCGGGCGGGAGCCGGTGGGG